GCAAGAATTCTACGTTTAGCAGTGATTAGAAACATTTTCGCGTACTTTTTATATTTTGATCCTTACTTGTTAGTTCGCTTCTGATGCGTCAGCGCCAAATTCTTGTCATTTAAGTTGTCCAGTAGCGCCAGGCACAAAGATTTCAGATCGTGTATTGTTTCTGTTTTGCCAGGCAGATCAATGCCGCTCTCCAGTATAGTTTTTACTGAAAATACAAATTATATTTAAAATCAATATAAGCAACGTGTGAATGTCTATTAACTCACCTTGTCTGGGGCTTAATATGGTTTCATCATTTGTGCTGCCGCCAAGCTTGACAATGCCCTTTTTGCGCTTTGCTTCCAGCATGGACTGGGTGAAATTTATAGATTAACATATACAAATATTATTTCTAGGTTATTAAATATTGTATATGTTTCAGATATATGCCAGTTGTCTTGATATATGTGTATAATAGCCGATATTTGTATGGCCAAAAACAACATTATAATACCGTGCAGCAAAGCTATATGAATTGGATTATCTACCTTATACTTGCTGACCGACTGCTTAGTGAGTTCAAGCTCGCTCTCCTGAATCTTAACGCGCTCGTGCAGGTACTTGTTCTCCAGCAGCACGCCATCAATGTCCAGCAGCTGAAAAGTCGATAATAAATATGTATACAATATATGGATAGTAAAACGCAAGCCACTTACATTTGGATGCATTTTGTTGGCTTTTAGTGCTACTAATAGTTCATGGTTAAGCCTATGCGCCTTGCACTTGTAGGCATCGCGTTCCGTCATCAGCTCCTCTTTTTCGTCAATAATCGCCTTGAGATCGAATGCCAGTTGTGCGTTCTTCTTTTTTAGATTCTCCAGATGACAAATGAAATTCGCCCGTTCCCGCTTCCATTGCAGCTCCTCCTTGTTGTGCGCAGCATTTTCGGTGAGCAACGCTTGCAGCCTGGACTTGCTATTGGATTCGCGTTCACGCAGCAGCTCCATGTCGCCCTGTAACTCGCCCAGTCGTTGTTTTAGCGCTTCCACCTCCGTGTTGAGCTTCAGATTCAATTCGCGCGTCTCGTGCAGCAACGCTGCCAGACTGGAATTCTGGCTCAAAGCGCCGCAGGCATTGCCGTTCCCGGCCAGCAGTTCGCTATTCCGTTTCATGGCCGAGTAGCGTAACTGCAGCGTCTCGGCCATCAATTTGTACTGATCACGCTCCACGCGAAACTGTTCCATCTCCTGGCGCAAAATGCGCAACGCTTCAACTTTGCTCTGCAGCTTGCGATGAACCGCCGAGGTCTGAAAGGGCACACATTAGTTAATACAACAAATCCTGGTGCAGATGTTCCACACCTCCACGTTATAGGTTTCCATATGTTTGCCGAACATAAAGTCGTATTGGCTGACATTGACAGCATTGCTAATGCCATTGCTGGCATTGCTGTGTCCATCGTCAGTGTCCATGCCGCTGGCGTATGTATCCACCATATGTTCCTTTTGAATATCAGCTCGTTGCGGTTGACATGGGCAGCCAACAGTTGTGCAGTGTCTACGGCATTGATTTGTTCTATTTAAATCGAATATTGCCGCACACAAGTCAAAATAGTTGTCAACCTGCTTGTTCGGTCTAAGTTGTCGCAATTTCTTCACATGCTAGACCATGTAAAATTAATCAATTTTTTTTTTGCGCCTGCGCAATTACCCAAATTTATATGCACCACTGTTGCCAACTTCATGTTATATATGTGCGTTCAAAACAGGAGCAGCAGGTGTGCCCCTACTGTTGCCAACTTTTATGTAGGAATTATAACCGTTAGAGCTAAGCTGAAAAATACATTTTACAACGTTAGTGAACACTACTCACGCAATGTTATAAAAAGAAAACAGTGAAAAACTGTTAAACGACCGTTTATTGTCTATTTTACTGTTGTGTAAATCAATAAAAGTTTTGTCTATTATTCAATATACGGATTGCAACTGAAATTTGCATGTGTTGTTTTCTGGCATACTTGTTCGAATGTTATATTAGACACTCTTTCATTGGGTAATTTATTGTCAGAGCATAGCTGATACAGTTGCTTTCGTTTAATCAGAGCCTTCAGCACCATTTTTGAAAGGATTTTAACATTTAAAAGCTTCTCGGATTTTATATTGAGTCGCTCAGCTATGGCCAAGACCTGTTCAACTACTAAGACAATATACAAATTGGACATATCAGTATGTATGGTTAAATAATCAAATACCTCTTTCGATTATATGCTTCTGGCATTTGACCTCGCGAGTAGACTCTGTTGATTTATTAAACGCCAGGGACAGAGATTCCGTTGCTTTGCGCAGCACTGCCAGCTGGTCAACGGGCAAAGTATTCTCCTGCAACGGGGCCATGCAATGGGTCCAGCATGTATCGGCTATGTTGGGCCCCCTGCAAGACCACTGCTGTAGTTGATATAATGCACGTTTTGCAGCCGCTTTATCCTCACGCAGCAACATTAGTTCGTTCCCAATGGAAACGAGATTTGCGCCAAGTTCGCAGATTTCTTGCGCCAGGGTTGAGCTGTGGTCCCGGTTATCGGCGCTGGCCTTCTGCTCAGCTTCAAGCCGGTCGAACGTGGTCAGTGTAACGAAAAGCTGGTGACAAGTAGTTGGGAATTAGAACGGGTTCCTTTACCTAGCTCCGAATTATCCAAACATATGTTCGGGTATACATAACGCATATGCAAACATATGAATAAACACAAACACGAGTATTTCATGCTCTCATAAAAAGGAACTCACTCATGATCGCTAATAATCCGCTCATTTATGACATTTTCAGTCCAAATATGGCCCTTCCTTAAAGAATCTCTTATATTTTCAACACTTTTAAGAGGGTCGGAAGTGCTTTTTCAAAAGTAACGAACAGAAATTTGGTAAATTTCCGAAATATGCCTAAAAAAAGCGGATCTTAAAATCGATACTTATCGATTTTGGCCAAAGAGAGTTTTCGATAAATTATAATAGACTTGATTTGCGCTTGGCATATTATAAGAGATCCTTTAGGCCGGATTGCGCTCGACTATAAATACATACATATCTTCTTTATTAGGTCGGAGCTGCCTCCTCTTGACTGTTACATACACTTGCACTTGTTACAGGCTATATTGTTTAACTGCACGTTGATGTTGATTTCTTTACCTTCTTTTTGAGGCGTTTGACGTCTGTTATCATTTGAGCATGAAGCTCAGACTGGCTCTGGTCTTCGAATAGCGCTTTCATATGCTGCTCATTGGCTTGCAATTTCTCGAGTATATTTTGGTTGCTGCGCACGACGTTTTTCAGATTGTCGATATGGACAGCAAGTTTGTCATTATACTCGTCGGCCCTTTTCAGCATGTGCTCCGCGTTATCCAATTGCTGGGCAAAGCTAGCGAGCTCTACACAATCTGCGATTGTGCTCATTACGCCGGATGGTGAGCTTCGCACGAATTTTATTTGACAGCTTAACGTTCTAATTTTGTTTGTTGGCCAAAAAATGATTTCAAAAATGTATAAATGAACATACAAAGCAATCGATTAAAATAAAATATCGTTATATTTGGATGTAATTGTAATGGAATCTTAAAAGGTTAAGGACACGGTTTGCGGTAACTTATGGTTGTTAACTAAACTACTGGACAAATTCACATATGTACATTGTAAATATGCATAGCATAAATAATTGATATAAATATAAATGTAATTGTCCTTTATCTGCAGCTCATGGCGCTGGCTATAGCTACCATTTTGCGCACAACGTAGACGTTTGTGCCATAGTATGGATCAATGTCCTGTTTGCCCATTGTCACATCGCACTCCATGCGTGTCGTTGTGGGTGCACTGTAGTCTTCGCTAGCTGTGTCCAAGGCAGACGCATGAAACTCTTGACAACGGCTGAATGTAAGAATCTCTTCCAGATTAGCTACCTTGATGCCGGCGCCAGGCATTATTATAATGTCGCGGTGATGCTTTGCTATTAACTGGGCTAAGGAATCAACACCCTCGGCAGCTGTTGCACGAAAACCGCTGCTAAGAACACGCTTAAAGCCCAGCTCCTTGAGCAATTGCACATTTTCGTGCATTAACTTTGGGTCGGTGAGATCAAAGGCTCGATGAAAGGTAACGGGCAGTCCGCACGAACGTTCCATCACACGTCGGCACTTGTCCACGTCAATCGTTCGCTCTGGTGTAAGTGCCCCGAAAACGAAGCCATCTGCGCCATGAGTACGCAGCAAATCCATATCCGTTTGTACCGCCTGCATCTCCTCCTCGCTGTAGACGAAATCGGTGCCACGTCTGGGACGCAGCATGCAGTGTATGGGTAAGGTAAATGGCAGCTCTTTTAATGTTTTCAGCGTTCCTGTTGTGGGTGTCAAACCGCCTTCCTGTAGTGCTGCACAGAGCTCAATGCGCGCGGCGCCGCCTTCTTCTGCCGCAAATGCTGATTTTATGGAATCCACGCATACCTCTAACTTTATATCATGAGCAGACATTCTTGTTCGTGTTTAATGGTTCAAAATTAATCTAAGCTCTTTGCTGGAGCTGCAACTCTCTTAACAAAATTGTGTTTATAAATATTTTGTTATTCGTGGTGTTGCTTATGCGTGGGCTTTGACAGCTGTTAGTTAGCAGCTAGCCTAACAGCGACGAACATTTACATTTGCTGTTACCAACTGTTAAATATATCGAGTAGTAATTGCTTACAGCACAATTTGCTTTTATTGTAAATATTGGTATATTCTCGTTTACCACAAATTAAGAAAAATGGTATATTAATAAAAGAGTGTTGTCGCTAGCGGTGGCTGGAATCCATTGGATTTTCGATCGTACCTATCTTTTCTACTGATACACCGAGATGAATAGTATGAAAAGTATCGTAAATTTAAACCGCTGTTATACTGAATATCAAGGAATGGGTGCGCAAATAATGAACGCACACAAGAGCCACTCTGCCATCGAAATGTAAGCTGGGTATCGATATATCGATACAATGCAACATACCCAGACGCAACACAACTCTGCTGTTCTAACCTCAAAGTGGCTAACAAACAAAAGTTGCCTCAACAATAAATATATATTTTGTTTTTTCATTGAAAACAATTTGTTAATAATAACAGTGAACCGATGATAATGTGCACGCGTTTGAAACACTTACAAATTTAAGCCTACCCAAAGCATAAAACGTCCATTTAAATCAAACAACAGCAGCAGCAGCAGCAGGACCGAGGCAACATAAATACAAATACACAAAAAAAAAAAGAAGACACAAATAAATAAATAAAAATCTTAAAAAGCAGCAGCAATTAAAATATATGCATAAAGCAAGTGTTAAGTGCTGAGCAATGTATAAGTTAATTTCAACTTATATTTCGGTTCTTTTGTTGTGCAGCTGAAATGAAAAATGCTTTAAATTACGATTTTCACTGCATTCTCTCTGGCCGAGAGCTGCCAGATGAGTTGCTTGTGACTCTTCCTACTCCTGCCACCACCACAGTGATTTAAATAAATATACGTCCGAAATTGAAGCGTGAATACGGCCAGCCAAGTTTTGACGCACCTTGACACTGCAAGGAAATGAACTCACAAAGACAACTGCAACTATCACCTAACGAAATCAGAGTTCGGGTCCAGCGCTAGAGTGCTGCCAACACACATATAATCACATTGAACCGGCTAGTGCAACTGCAACTGGAGCTGGAGCTGGAGCTGCCTCTCGTCCTTCGCCTTGTTTAGCATTTAATTTGATCGTTTGTCGTTTGTCGTTTGCCATTGTCGTGCCTCTCCAACTCTTGTTACATTCATTTCGTTGTTTACGTTTATTGGCACATTGTTGAACATTCTTAGCCCATTTTACTCGTGCAATTCCCATTACGGATCATAGTTATAATAAATTCTTCGTTGAGCATTTAAATCAAAATGAAATCTTCCTTGTCGCATTTGCCATCGATATCACGTCCAGCCGCTACAGCCACAGCAAGAGCTACACTAATAATACACCCGTCCAAGCCCACCTCGTTACCACCATCAATGCATTTGCAACGCACGAGGACCACACACTATCAACCACATTAGAGGAAAACAAATGGCATAAAAGCGAATTGAAGGTGCGTATAAACACTTATTCCATTTTCCATTTGTTAATCATCCTTTTGCATCTCTTGGTCTACTTAATAATGGCTACTAAAGTACAAGTATAAATATAAATAGATAACGTTTAATATATATCATAATTATTAATCATTTATTTTTCTAAGGACAATGCTACAATGGTTTCGTCCTCATTGTGGAAATTACATATATATAAATGCAACATTTAATATGCTTGAAAGCATAAACATACACATATAATGTTCATAGAACGTGTTATTTTAAACAAAAATGCAAATCTATCGTAGGATTGCCAAAGAATCAAATACCCTTCCAGACATATACCTTTTTGTATTAAGCAGCAGAAAGAAACTCTTTTCCCTTGTGCTCTTCTATGGCAGCTATAGGATAATGTAATCTGATGTTAGCAAGAATTTGCTGATATGTATGAATATTGAAAGGCCTCTAAAACTCGTATCTGTTCATATTGATTGAGATACTTTTAAAATCATATGAAGTTATTTAAATGAAGACTGTTTTCGATCGATTGTTCCTATGTAAGTCATTTTTCATGGGGAAACATTTTGGTTAAATGTAATACAAAATATAAATATTCAAGTATATTTAAAATGTTCGCAACAAATTTTCCAATCGAGCTATTAGCTTTATAAATATCTCTTTTATAGTAATATATGGGTATTCATTTATTGGGACTCCGCTTTTAGTCCCTCAGGCTTACAGAAATCGTCATAGCACTTTATATGTCCGTCTTTCTGTTACAGGTAAGCGGCTCCAGCGGCTCCCTGTATCATATAGTTGCCACAAGAACGAACCGGCAAAAATTAAGTACTTTTATGAAAAATTTAGCCCTGTCCGGATTAAATTTGAGCCTTCGTCGTTTTCCGTATAGTGTATCATGAATTCCACTATAATCATAGTAAAACCATATAAAATTCAAGCCACCGCAAGAGATTGTTCCTTCGCTTGGCAATTCGAGCATTTCAAACAATTCCAGCTGAAATTCAATAAAATATTTTCAATGATTTTAGTTATGCGTTGCGTAAATCAAGTCGTGCGAAAAATGTTTGTATCTACACCCTTCGGAATGTAAGCTGCTGTCGCAAATCGAACCACATTTTCAAGGGTTATTCAATTTTGTGCGCATTGAAGAAAAAAATGCACTTCAAGGAGCCACAATTTTATTGCTTTCTGCGATTGTTACACATTTGTAAATACTTAAGTCCAATATCTAACCATGCGTGACTTTAAACTGTTTAACTCAGTTTGCAGGCTTTTAATTTATTATTTTTATATATACTCTAATAAATATATGCCGTCGAATACTTCAATATTTGCTATATTCAAAACTAAGAAGCAACTGGCGAATCCCTTAAATATATTTCGTTTTGTTTTGCCCATTTGACTATCCAATGCGTTTTCTCCCAATTGGTTCTCCCAATGGTCTAAGAATCTTGCCAATATCTCAAAGATCATTTGGTAATAAAATTGCAATTTACAAATCACTTTCTAGCCCAGGTTTTTATACAATAAATACAAAATCCATTGCCAATAGACAAGATTAAAATAGGAGTTAGTAAATTATTTACATTCAAAATATTACATCAGATATTGTATCAAATTAAATAAAATTTGATTTCTTTTTATATCAAATGCATTGTTAAAACTAACAAAAACAATCTTAAATCTCTTTTTCTTTTTATTTGTAGAAACTGCAGTTTTAAGAATCCCAAGATCTCTGTATCCCACACAAACCTAATGCAAATTACACATGTAAGTATTTTCTTATCTATTAAGGTTAAGATTTACGAATTGAAAACAACAAAACATTAACGTTCATTAACAATTTCAATTTATATGCATATTATATATAAACGTCAAATATGTGGAGCAAAGTAAAGTAAAAAACTTGGATCTTTTATAAAAGCAAAGTTTTTGTAAGGTGGATCAAAACAACATATCTTAAATACCTAAGTCGTCAGCGGTTTATTCCCATAGGGCTTAGATGACATACTTAGTAACTCGATAAATATTGGAGTTCTCAAAAATGCCAGGAGCACAGAGAAATGCTTTAATGTTAATTTGCTTAAACTTTAAACTTTCAAACTTTAAGATCCTATTGAGGATTGTAATAGTCGAGTTTCATGAAATAAAACTAATTTTCTTACCGATTGTTTTTATAGGTACCATATGATATATTCGTCCAATGTTGATTAGATATTGCTTGGAAATTGGAATCAATATAAAGATTATAACTGGAAAGTTCAGTTAAGAGATTTCAAAATGAAAAGGAACGATAGATTATACTAAAAGCTTTAGTTAGTCAGCCGATCCAGGATCCATGTGGATTAGAATTATTAGAAAAAGTACAAAATTGAGAAATTAGATAGACATACAGAGGATATATCTAATTGACTGTTCATTCTGATTACAATTTGTAGTCGTAAACATCTTCTAACAGGCATGGCACATTTTATATTACCCGCTGCAAGCTTTAGCAGAGATATGACAATATATAAGATCTATATCTATATTAAAAGCAATGTATGTCAGCTTATGTGCATGATCGAACTTAACAATGACAAACTGTCCCTTAAATACTCTACCATATACGTATTTGTGGGAAATGGATTGTATACGCTTTTGTTCCGAGCGAAAGTAAAGTTTTTATGCAGTTTGTTTAAAACACAAGCAACACACGAAGGTCAATTGGTGTGCTCCATGTGCGAGTTGTGTGCTTCTGCAGTTTTGCAGTCTAGACTCGAATCAGACTCAACATTCAAAGCTCAAAGCGATGGCGGTCGTCGGCAATTTGCCTTTAACCTCATTAGAAACAAACGGCGCCGGCTGCAGTTTCCAGCCACCAACTTTGAACCCCCTCAACCCGGCTCACGGCCTCGCTCCGCCCCGCTTCGCTCAGGCTCTTTGTTTTTTAAAACTTATTGGAAATAAATGTTCATGTTTGTTTCGAGTTTTGTTGAATAGCGCGGCTGGCCTTAAAGGCTGACAGATAGAGAGGGTGGCTTAAAAAAAAAATATATATATATATAAAAGAGAACAAGCATAGTGCAGCATAATTGTGGGTGGAGGCACAATAAATGCAACCCTCACCCGTTGTGTGTTTGGCAGTACATGGACTGTTCGAATTGTTTGGATTTGGTTTTATTTTTTTTTCTACTTTGCTTTCTTTGTATGTACGAGTACAGCCTCTGGACCTGCGCATATTGGTTGTGCACACACACACACACACACACACACACACACACATATATATATACAACAACTTCTATTCCGTACTGGCGTCTCTTTTGCGCGCATTTGCAAGGACATGCCGCAACCACTGACACTTTGAAATGAACATCCTTTGTGTTTGTTGTACATGAAGAGTCATTATGTTGGTCGCTCGGCCAGTCAGTTAGCGGGTTGGACGATTATTCGTGGGGTGGAGGGGAGGGAGTGGGGCAGCTAGCTGGTCTTAGCTAGCGGCTGTCCAAGTGGCAGCATTCGCATGACTCAGCCTCACTGATTGGAGTATCAAGTGCCCAAAGTCCTTAGTCTCAATCATCTAATATTGCACAATCTGAATGCAAAACGCCGCATTAAACACAACGTTTTGGCATAAGTTAGAATTATTTTGCCGAAGTTTCAATACCCTTGCACATCCATGAAACCAGGCTTTTTTTGAACCTTCTACTGTCAAACTTATTTCTAAAGCAATTCAGTTCTCCTCTCTTCATATTCGGAAAATATTGTGTTTTTGCAAATTTTTAAATGCTTACAAATTTAGATCCAAACATTTTTCTTTATAACGAAACCCAAATTGGCTGAATTTAATTTGGATATTTTGAAAACGAAGAGAAATACTTAAAAATAGTTCCGATCGAGTTGGGCTCTGAGATCTAAAGCTTGATCTCCATATAAAGGTCAACACACAGCTCAAACCGTTAATGCCAGGAGGGTAAAAATTGTGCTAAAACTACCTTACTTTATGTAAGTAAATACATAAGCTAGAATGTGGGAAATTCTACTGGCACTTTCGCAACTTCCACCCCGCTTGGATTAAAAATGCGGGTGAAAATTTGTTTAAACGAAAGTTGCACTTTTCAATTTCATTTGCTCCGATTAATATTAAACTTATTTTTAAAAATATCTATCTAGAATATATTTTTAAATGTATCTGGAAAAGAAATCTCTAAAATTGAAAGAAAATATGAGAAAGTCGGGAAATAACCGCTAGTATTATAATATCTGGATAATTCGGCTGATTCGAAATATAATAATTCAATGGCAAACGAAGGCAATGTTTTATCAAGAGAGTTTTTAAAACAGATAGACGCACATGGTTATATCGACTCAGGTGTTTATATGCATCATGAATGATTAGCTTCTTCTATGCGTTACACGCCTTGTTGCAAATGTAAGATACTCTTGGCAGGGCCATTAAAACGCACATGCAACAATTGTGCCCCAAAAAGACGCAGTCAGCAACGTGGCTTCCACTCAGAAGCCCCTCTCCCAAGTGCCACCCTCCTAACCAACTGACAGCAGTTACATGGGCAACCCCCAAAATAAAATGTGTTCATGTACTATGCCATTTATATAAGCACACACACACACACATACTTATACGCGCGCGTATATGCAGCGTAAACAGGGTGCATTCGTAGTTGTGTACAGAGTTTTGAGCCTGGGCTGCTGCTGTCAACGGCAACAGGATTCAGTTTGACTCTTTAGCTTTGTGCCGTTTGTCAGGACATTTTTGTGTGTGTCTCGTGTTTGTCAACAGTTGTTAATCAAGTTGAGAATCCGTAAACGCCGGCACCTTCAGCCTGAGAAGCCATTGTCATTGGATGTATCGTCACTTGGCAGTCAGTAGAAGAACCTTGGTGTACACCTCGCACACATTGTGCACAGGCGGGTTATCAGTTTGTAAGTATGCAATTTGAAGATCGCACAAAAAAAAAAAAAAACAACGACAACAAAGAAAAAAGGAGTTGCTATCCTGCAGCATCCTGCAGCGGCAACGTCTTTCAACAGAGACTCTCGATTTGGAAGCCCCTGTCAATCATTATGAATAATCATAATATATACGCAAGAGGCATTTATCCTGTGAAGCGTACAAAATCTAATAGGGATAATAAAATTCGTTCGTGCCTCAACTGTCTGTCTGTCTGCCTCCGAGGGGATTTCTTTCCTAACCACCGGCCCTGCCCCGAGGTGTATTGTTAATCTCTGGCATTCAACCGGCTGGAACTAAGATACAATAGAATTCGTTGCCACAATAAGTTTCACATAATTATTATATATCGTACAAATAATTTAATAAAGTGATTTCCTTTTTCAATTGCACGCTTCAGACTATTCGCTGCACTCAATATTCAATAATTCAATTTCAATTAGTTGCCCATTTTGAATAGTTCGAATTTCTCATTTTTTTTTTTTTTGCCATTGCATCCCTAGTTACAAATTCGAACTATTTGAGTTGGCAAAAAAATACTTTTCTTTTGGTTTGCGAAGTTATTTTGTTTCATAACTTGAGCCTCTTAAAACTAAAGAACTTTGGAGTCAGGCTATTTTAAAATATCACATATATGTAATTACCTTAAATATCGTCGAAAATAATTACGTTTAAAAATATATAAATACATAAATGTATATAGATTAATGTGTGTCTATTATATATATATATATATTAACATCTATATCTGCATCAATTGAAAAGTGACTTGCTATTTTTATGTGAACCTTTTCATCTCAATTAAGTAGGAAATACCTGCACCGTATTCTCCTACCTAAACTTGATTTAGCAAAGGAATATAATTAATCGGTATATAAATAACGGAAAAAATTAATTTAATTTATATCGATTGCTTGATAACGAGACAAGTTATCGATTATCGAAAACAAAATCGTTCTGAACGGTCACCTGGCAGACCTACTTCCAGAGTTCAAGTCTCCTACTCTGAGATCAATGTGTTAATACATCTCGAAAGGCAGGCGGACTTGGGAAGAACGACTCGTCTATTGATACGACTCTAAGATATAAATATTTAATGGGATGTGCTTTCTTCTGCCGGTAACATACATTTGCACAAAAAAATTATACCCTTTTTTCGCACATAAAAATATGAATAAATATTTATATTAACCATACTAGTATTCATATAAGCTAGACTATTTTAATCGTATTGCCGAGGGTATTAAAATATAATATAACATCTATGACTGGCCCCATAAACGGACTTCGTATAAACATCCGAGTCGATGATGTCGATTCCGTTCTCTGCCTGTCTTTTTGCCAAATTTCTCAGTTTCACAGTCTTAAAGATAAAAGATGGTGTCAGCCAGATCGAATAGAATATATATCATATATGCAGAAAACCTCAAAAATTCGTAAAAAAAAAAAATGCTGGGCCCTTGAAAAATATTCGTTAATCCGTAAAGATTCCATACATTTTGGTTCCCTCATTAATTCGTAGTATTTATCGCAATGCACAGTATATTGAATCTATTATAAATTGAAATTTGGTTTCGTGTAACCTCTGATAACTCATAATGCAATGCGAAATTATTTGTCGGAGCCAGATCGTTAATTCCTCAATTATAACTCTGTTTTCTAAGACATGATATTCATGATATTGTCTTTGACAAACTAATAAGTTGAGAGAACCAGATAGATAAACTAGAAGAAACAAAACTCAGCAATCAAAAGTTACAGACTTTAATTAGCAAAATGTACAAATGTATGTCCATTGTACATATATTGTTTGTCAAATTCCAATTAAGTTAAATATGTATACGGATATGTATATGGAAATCTCGATAAATCGTTGCCATTTCGAATTATCGGGATTCGACTGTATATACTATATATATATTATACTATACTATACTTCGGCGTGATCCTTTTTCTCCTGGAATTTAAAGATTCTGTCATTCTGCAAACTGCTCTAATTAATGCAACGGTAAACATAACAACTATTCCATATAGTTAAGCAATGCCCAGACTTTGGCAGTAAATGACCCCATGGCTTGTAATCTATTTTTACCAATGGTTTATCAGCTATAAAAAACTATGCTAGGACCCGACTTATTAGATCTACACAATTAAAGTATATATATATAAGAAAATATGATCAATATCTGAACAGAATAGCCCCCAGATAAAGTTTTGAAATCGAAAAACCTAACAACTTATATAAAGACAGCTCAATCAGACATGATTAAGGTAAAAACATCCATACATTATCTATAAGTGTAAAAACCCATCCTTGATATACTTCGAAGTCGAGTTCGCGAAGGTACAAACTTTTAAATTAAATATACATTTCGTTTTCTCTAAGATGTGGCACCCAATCTAATATCTTTTTACTTTTTCTTAGGATGTTAGATAAAGCAAACCCTTCTTATGCCTTTGTTGGCTGATTAGAGCTTTGCGCAGCGAAATAGTCCAGATTGTGCATTAAGTAGCGCTGCCTTAGACAATTCTGGCATCCTTGTTGCATTAGTGCACGCCAAGGAGCTATTATACTATGCTTAAAAGCCAGCTGGATCCTTTGATGTTGGATGGTATTTCGCGTGGCTAAGGATTTGGTTGCGCCAACAACTTATCGTTCGCGCGTTTTGAAGGAGGCGCCGCGCATTTTCAATAGTTTGGCTTTGAGTGACTCGGCTTGGGCGCCTTTACGCCGTGCCCAGAAGAGTGTAGGCGGAGCAAGAGTAGGAGCAGGACGTGGAGGGAAGCGGGAGGCATAAGAGTGGACGTCAAGTGGCCAGCGCTTTCTAGGCGCATGCATAGATATAGATATGTATATAGATATATAGATGTATGGCTGTGCATCTCGCGCTGTCTCTGTCGCCGCTTTGTATGAGTGTGTGTGTGTGCGTGTGTGTGTGTGTGTGTGTGTGCCTCGTGTTGAGCGTTTTTAATTGTGCCTTTTGCTTTGTCCTTTTGGCTGTAATGGAGTGCTATGCAAATGGCGTTTTGATGAGTTTCCTTGGCTCGGGCGCTCTCTTTGTTGTCCCAGCAGACGTTCATCCCCCTTTATTACGCTTTTATCACTGTGTATGTGTGTGCGTGTTTGTGTAGTTTGCATGTTTATGTGTGTGTGTGTGTGTGTGTGTGTGCCTGGGATGGGCTGCTGCTGTTTTCGTCCTTTGTGATTGTTGTTGCCGTTGTCGTCGTTGCTCCGTTGTTGGCGGCGACAGTGCTCTCATGTAGTTGTTGTTGCTTTGACTGCGGCAAAAATAAAAAGAGGAAGCTGGAAAAAATTTGTTTTTTTTTGTTGATTTTCATGCGCGTCAGACAGAAGCAGAGCCACCACCACCAACGACCCCTGCTCGACTTCGCTCTCTCTGTGTGTGTGTGTGTGTGTGTGTGTGTGTGTGTATGTGTGCGTTCCATTTTCAAATTTCGTATATCACAGATTATTGTCCTTCCCCTTGCCATGGGCCCTGCCCTGCCCTGCCCTGGCTGGTATATTGTATTGGTCGATAACGTGAACCAATCAAAAACGCTCTCAAAATGGCCGCCATTCAATTTTCTTCGATATATCAAATTATACATAAATAACTGCGACTCCTTGCGGTCATATGCTTGCGCCTTCATCAATGTGCCTGGCGCTTTGGGGGCTGACGCTGCAGGCGCAAAAGGGCTCCAATAAATGCCAGTTAAGTGCATTAAGTTTTCCATGCCATGAACACGCACACACTTTATACATCTGCATTCTTTTGCGGCGCAATATGTAAAACGGCACTCAATTTAAACTTTTGCATTAATTCAAATTGCATTTCCTTTGCAACTAAGTTAAGACCTATTCCTGTTTGAGTGCAGCTTTTTGTGTTACTCGTCAATTGAATACCTATATAAAATCAACTAATTAATTAAAAATAAGTTTATTTGCAAGGTTTATTTCAAGATAACAAAGCGGAAATGTTTCCAATTTAAACACGGAATTCGAATTTCTATTTAAACATGAAGCGAGCTCTAACTCAAATTTCATAGTACTGATAAATACAGATTATTTTTCTTAATTTTCATAATTCTGATTAATATCGATTTTCAGACATGGCACAACTCAAAAATTTCAAGAGCTGTGTAGCTTCGTTTTGAAAACTTTCGCTGTGCCCTCGACATTGAAAATTAAATTATTTTTATGTGTAGAACCTTACACACCTGATTTATACCATATAGTCGATATATTATAACATAAGGCTAGTATGAATAATTATTTCGAATGATTCTCTTTAACGAATCATTGACAGAATCATTTGAATCGATTTTTTTCAATGAGTCCTTAAAATGAATCATTGTTTAGAATCAATCGAAACTCTAAAGCAGTCGCTAGAAAATGAAAAATGAATGAATATTATGAAATTTTATATATATTTTCTATAGATTAATCTCATATTTTTGAAAATTAATTTTGATGACAGCAAATAATAATATTTATTTAGATGTAATGCATAGGTTATTTGCTTACTAATCTTATTATCTTGAATTAATTATATATTTTAAAAATGTCATTATTGCTTACAGGCCTTGTCTAACTGCCTTCCAAATTCGCTAACGAAATACATGCACCAGAAAAGCATCTTCCATATCCCAAATATTTTTAAAATATCTGGCGTTTGTGATTTGTTAAAACACGTTTGATTGTATTAGCTTAAGCATAGCACTAGATAAAATATTATAAAACATCACAGCAAAAGCCAAGTGTGGAGCATTGTTGGGCCACAAGAAAAGAGGCAAGAAGCGAGCGAATTTAGAGTGGCATGAGCCATCAATTGGGACTCCGGAAACATGGTGATAATGAGTGTAGTGGGCCACGACCACCTGTACCCGGAGAAGAGAGCCGTGTTAAAAAGGTAATGAAGCAAAACCATATACTAGACAAACGGAGAAGTTCCATTATCAAATGATATATGTACAGATGACCGAAGGGGTAATAGATACCTCAAAGAACTCACCTCCATCTTATCTTAACTGGGCCCGCACGCTAAATCATCTGCTTGAGGATCGCGATGGGGTGGAGTTGTTCAAGAAGTATGTTGAAGAGGAGGCGCCCGCCTACAATGATCATCTCAATTTCTACTTTGCCTGCGAGGGTCTGAAGCAGCAAACAGATCCCGAGAAGGTTAAGCAAATCATCGGAGCCATATATAGGTAAGACTCGTATACGAATTCTGAACTGCTTTCATTCAATAATAACAAACTTTCGGTTCATATTCACAGATTCTTGCGCAAAAGCCAACTGTCCATTTCTGATGATTTGCGCGCTCAAATCAAAGCCATCAAATCGAATGAGATTCCGCTCAGTCCGCACATATATGATCCCATGCAGCAGCATGTGGAGGCCACCATACGGGACAATATCTATCCGAGCTTCCTCTGCTCTGAGATGTACATACAGTACATACAGCATATGTCCGCAGTGCAGGAGCGTTTCAGCAGCAGCGGCGCCACCGCAACGGGCAGTGCGGGCAGCAGCGGAAGCGGCGGCAGTTGTGGCAGCAACAATGGCAGCACTGCCGGTGCCTGTGCTCTGCCGACGGCAACTGCCAAGCAGCTGTTGGTCACAGCAGGCGCAGGCGGCAGTGGGCCGATTCCTCCGGGTGTCTTCATCAATTTGCCGATGAGCAGCGGGGCTCCGTTGCCAGCTGGAACTTGTAGTGCCAGCGGCAGCGTTTACGGGCCATCAACGTCAGCTAGCTCCAGTGGCTCCATCAGTGCCACAGACACACTGCCACGCAGCTCTACACTACCCACACTGCATGAGGATTCGGTGCTGTCGCTATGCGATGATTTCGAGAAGGTGCAGGTGGAGGGCGGTGGTCGCCAGCATATCGATTTACCTATGCGTCTCACGCGCGACCTTTTGATAGCAACTCAGAAAAGAAGACTGGAAATTAGACCTCCCGGGTATGTAATTTGATACGAAGGAATCTCATTTTTGTCTAGCACATTTTTTGCTATTATTTCATATCCCGCATAGACTCAAACATTAGCTTTACACCTTATTAAAAAATAGTTTCAATTTGAACATCGATTTCCAATAATAATTGTTATAAAAATAATTAATTAGTTTGTTAGATTCATGAATTTTCTTCTGAACCCACAATTTTTTGTTTCTAAATATATATTGTATAACTTGGAGGAAATAAGTAGAAGTAGTGTAGATATATTAAAGTCTATTTTTTTTTTTATTATTTTGCCTAGCGTTCTGTTGAATGCATAAGTAAAAGTAAATAATCTAATTAAGGCATGTACATATTTTATGTCAGTCATCATCATCCAGTAATCTTCTTATCTTCAAATCTTCGAATTTCGTTAACTGTGCATATATCATTCATTAAAATGCAAGTCTTTTGTGAAATTCGGTGAAATCTATATCACAAATAGCAGTATGATCAGTTAAATCCATAAAGATGACCCTAAAGATGCCCTTAACGTATTGAGAAGCTAATCTAGAAGAGATGGAAAGAGAGTCGCTTTCTTTGTAAATCCAATTCTGAATCCCATTCTCGCTCTCTTAGTTTTTAAAGTAACATGCAAACTTGACATGAAATCATGAAAATCGCAAAGAAAGGCGATGTGATGGGAAAACGAGTAACTACTAGAATGTGGGTAAGGGCAATTGGCTTTCAGTTATTTTATAGATATAATGTAAAATAGTTAAGTAACGAATTCTTTAATTTTATTTTGTTTCAAATAATATACATATATATTTTTATTTTATGATTTACTATGTTAATTTATTTAAATGCTTTCTTTTTATTTACATATAAATACATATTTGTACGATCACAAACGCACGTACGCACGAACCCATCCAACAACAACAACAACAACAAAAAACATACAACCATGAAATGCGACACTCACCGTAACGAACCCATCTGCACACACACAACAACAAAAACAACAACACGGATTTATAAACATCGTATTGTTTATTTTTTCTTCTAATTTTTTGTATACATATTTTAATTTCTGGAACTCCTCGATTTGCTCTGTACATAAAACAAAACACATTGCATGGATCCATCAATTATGTTGCCCCCATTTTTTATGAATGTGTTCCGCATGCGAATAGAGCTCATGGTTATGTGTATACTGCAAGCACCAATACATCCTTTGTACCCAACTCTCGCGTTGATTCGGAGAGGGCAAGCGTTAGCTCCGGCGGCCGCACCGACTCCGATACAATGTCACTGTCCAGTTGTTCAATGTGAGTAATTGGTCCTAAGATAACTCAATGTGAGCTGGATTGCTAAAGGGCATTGAAGAGAGGCATACATTTGGACTCCAAATTGGATAATCTAACTAAACTAACTGCTATTCGTATGTTTTTCCAGGGATGGCCGCCCTTACATAGAACGCAGACACAGCTCGACGGAGAGCAAGGCCATACGCCAGAGCGCCATGGCGAATAAGGAAACGAACAGCTTTCAGGTACCTAAAGTTAAAGTCATTCCCAATGCTTATACATATTTTCTTAATTATTCTATATGTATCTAGGTTATACCCCGCACGCAACGACTACATTCAAACGAGCATAGACCGCTGTCGGAAAATGAACTGTTGGCCCTGCTGATACCCAAGCTTGAGGAGGTTAAGCGCAAACGTGATTTAGAAGAGCGTGCGCGCTTAGAGGTAAACAATGGAATATACAAAAAAATATTAATATAGTAATATACTGTCATGTGTCCAACATTGCAGCGCATGCCAGGAACTGCATCCAGTGCCAATGATCGTGCATTCGCTGAGGCGATACGTGAAAAGTTTGCGCTCGATGAAGACAACGACCAAGACATTTTGGACCAGCATGTGTCGCGTGTGTGGAAAGATCAAACGCCGCATCGCTCACCTGGGACTATGTCACCCTGCCCGCCCATACCATCGAGAAGACGCACGGCAACACATGACTCGGGCATGGTCAGTGATGGTGCCATGAGCCTGAGTAAGTTTGATCTATCTGAATTAATAAATCCAGTTTTTCTTATTGCTGCCATCTTTTGAATGCCACAGGTGGGCACTCAATGAAGCACTCAAAATCCATGCCCGATCCCAGTTCCTGCTCTAGGAAGCTAACAAATAAATGGCCTTCAATGAACACAGACAGCGGCATCAGTATGTTCTCAGCTGATACTGTCATGAAATACAAAGATACTAGGTATATTTACGAACAGCTACTTGCAACAAATATATTTATTTTAATTTGAATATTTTGTACAGCTCCCGCTCTGGTTCAAGCACGGCCTCAAAATTGGAGGAAGCAAAACGAAGACTGGAAGACGAGCCGCGTCGCACTCGTCGATATGCCCAACCGCAGCTACAATCCCATATGGTGGCAATGCAGCAGCAACAGCCCCTATCTACCTTTAGCAGTAGCAGCAGCGGCAGCAGCACAATGCATCATCATCAGGCTGTAGCTTGTCCACCGCCGCTGCCCATTAAACCGCCGGAAACAGTTGTGGTGTTTTCATTCTGCGAAGAGCCAGTTCCTTACAGAATCAAAATACCCGGTACTCAGCCGACCCTGCGCCAATTCAAGGACTTTCTGCCCAGAAGGGGTCACTTTAGGTATGTGTGCAGTAGAAGTAGTATTCCACATAATAGCCGAAGGTTACTAGATTTTGGTTTGCCATTTTCAGATTCTTTTTTAAGACGCATTGTGAAGACCCGGACAGTCCAGTGATTCAGGAAGAGATTGTTAATGACTCCGATATACTGCCGTTGTTCGGAGACAAAGCGATGGGTCTTGTCAAACCATCCGATTAATCTTAAGCATTAAGTGTAGATTTTTTATTAAGCTAAATTATGAATGGGGGGTAAATAATGATTGATGTATGTACAATATGTATGGTACATCTTAGAGATACAACTCGAGAAGCTATTCCCAGAAATCAAAACTTAAATAGAACTAACTGTACATTCAATAGGCTTTTGCAAGCATCACAAACTATTGTACGTGGGGTAGGGGCGGGGTGGGGGACTACAACGATGTTTGGTTAGTGGTAGGTATGGTAGGTAGGGGGAGTAATGTGTTTCATAATTTCGTCCTGAACATCTGGAGGTATTTTTTTAAATATACATATGCCTATGATAAGGAACGATGAATTAACACCGATAAAATGTTTAAATTGATGTATATGTATTTGTTATAAGTCGAACAACGCGAATCGTACATTTACATATGTATTTATTGTATTTTGTATGTTTTACCATATAAACTCAACGAAGATCTGACATTCATTTAAACACTATATATCCCGCATACCATTTGGTGGCTCTTAATACACACAATAGAGATTATTTAGCACAGCACAATAAAAAAATAATTGATTCAAAAATTGAAACAAAAGAAGAAGTAAAAACAAAAAAAACATAGCAAGAGAACAGTTCTATGGGTATTCCTGAATTCGGATTTGTTTGTTACTTTTTACTAACTATGGACTGCCTGCAATAAATTTTGTTAATATTTTTATAATGTGCATTTTATGATATGATGATATTAACAAAGTTCTATTCAACTCGACAAAAAATCAAAATATAATCTGTTTTATTTTTGTATAATCTATTATACTACATATAGTATGTATGTACATTTGAATTTATGTATTTATATATATATACACACACGGACACAGACGCATGTATACATATATAAAAATATACATATGTATTGTGCTTTCGTCTATATTATATACATAAATATATATATTTACCATTGCACACAAATTTCATTTGATTTATCAAACGATGAGTGCTAATTGCTCCAATAGTTGCATAATTGCTTAACACATTAATTGATTAGTTCTTACTTTCATAAGTTATCAAAAATATAACAAAACCATACAATAAATATTTTTTTAAGAAACTGATCATAACCGCAGAAATATGAAATTAATGCATACATTTATCATAGTAAAACAAACAAACCATATTTTATTTGTGAGCAAAATGCATGTAGATTTAATAAAATGAAAGAAAAAAAACAAAAACAAAGTACATAAAATTGACATTTAAAACCGAATTTTTATTCAATTATTAATAATGTGAAGACTGTCATTTCCTAGCCCATACAAAATATATGTACAATCTTAGTTAAGCTTAATTGACGAACTGGCGATATGCTAGACAGGCGTGCAATCGTCCCGCTGGCAATGACTTAAGTAATTCTGTTCGTTAATGAACGTATGTGTGCATTTGGGGCAGTGAAAGCGCCGATGCCGATTGCTGCCAGGATTCTCGTGCTCCCGGAGATGCGCCTTCATGTTGTACATTTGGGAGAATCGTTTGTTGCATACTGGACAGGCGAATGGCTTGGCGCCTGTGTGGGACCGTGTGTGCCGCTCAAGATGGGCTTTCGTGCGCGTCTTAAAGCCACAAACCTGACACTCCAGGCGCTTAGATTCATTGTCGTGTATCATTTTGTGCTTGTAGAGCGCAACCTTATGAACAAACCGTTTCGAGCACACTTCACACTGATAAGGCGTTTCCCCCGTGTGCCATGCCATATGGTGTTTCAGTCGAAACTTGCGGCTGAAGCGCTCGCCACAATGGGGGCACTCGAACTGTTTGACCGGCTCATGATTCTGTAGGTGGCCAATGAAGCCAGAGTAGGATTGCAAGGTTTTGCCGCACTGATCACACACATAGCCAGGGAAATGCTCACGTTTTGTGTGCGCATTATATGAACGGCGACTGCTGAACTGCTCCGGACAGCTCGGACATTGTATGTTAACTGTATAGTCGTTAGAGCTGTCCTGGTCATCAGCATCTGATATTAGGTATTCGATTGTGCCATCCATTTGATCATCTTCAAACTCACTTAACATATCCTTGTCCTCAGTGAACATATCCAGCTCGTCGGTTGTTTGCTTGACTTCATCATCCAGATCCGCATCAGGAACCTCTTCATTTATAATTATTTCATTTTCAATATCTAACTCTAGGTCAACTGCTTGAAATTCCTCTTCATCGCAATCGGAAGTCTTTTCTATTAGGACGTGTTCTTCCTCCACCACTAATGCTGTGTCCACAATTGTTCCTTTGACTGGCGTCGCGTCTGATCCATCATCTAAATCAGCTGCATCCACAGTCTCGACCATTTCGACGCTGATGCTACTACCATCAAATTTTTCGGCGGCCTCGACCTTGAGTTCACTTCGTGACTTGAAGTCCTTAATTATAAATGGACTTCGTATTAATTCCAGTATTTCCTGGCGCAGTTTTCGTGCAATTTGTAAGGATTTGTGATAGCGCGACAATTTCTCGCAGCATTTTTTGCATATTGTCGATCCCACCTCGCCGAGCACATAGTTTGTGCCCTTTGTACATTGCAGAACCAAATCACTGATTAATATGGGCGGCTTTCCAATCGTTTCCTCGTGTATGTTTTTCGGGTTGCGCACAGAAAACTGGCAAATGCAACAATTCATTTTTAGGTCGAATATATTTTATAAAATATGAAGACATCAATTCTGCCTGCCGAAAAACATAATTGCCCAACACTCTTTTCCAGTTCTGTAAGTGCTCGATATTTAAAGTATTTTATCGTGTTTCCACTGCTGCGTGTCAGTATGCAATATTTAAAGAAAATACTAAATAAAAAATACTTCTGTTCTCATTTTTATTGCAAAAAAAACCAAAATTTGTATTCGGTCAGCTTCATTAAATTATCGCTCCATAGTAATATTGAAGTTTTTGTAATTTTCCGATTCTTTCATTATTTCCATTGTTTTATAATGATTTGCTCTTCCAAATGTCTACAAAATCATTGAAGGTATTACGAAATCGCATTTTAAATGAATAACTTTGCTCGTCTTACCTTGCATTTACCGTAAATTTTCATTGTACGTGCCGCTTCATTGACGTCCATCATGCCACCGCCTAGAGGCTTAACACATAGTCCGAGGCTCTCCATTTCGGAGCGTACACGATCGTATACCCTAACTATAAAGCCGGACGGATGTGATAAATTTATTATAGAATCAGAACTAGAGAACTAACCATGATTTTTCGCTGGCTGTCCACGCACGATTGTCCGCGCATAAAGCGTTTCACCGTGAATGTAAATTGACATCAACAAATAAAGAATTTGACCATCTGCGATCTCAATTTTAGGTACAGTAATAAGTGCTTTACCGGCCCTCTGATTTGTAAAGTTTCTGACTGGATGTTCATTATTTTATTGAAGCTCGGATCATTCACATAAATGTATAACTTACGAAGCAAATTTCCTGAAGAACGGAATGGAAGCGCGAGCTTTAATAATTTCATTTTTATTGAGTAGGTAAACTATTTTAACGCCAAAAAAAGTAAAATGGAAAATTTAGACGAGTTTATTAAAAGGTCTGTTGTGAAGAAAATCTACAGCTTGACTAACTTTTAGTTTCCGAGAAACCAGTCCGTTGCAAACTTTTCCCCATGTTGCTTCGATCATAAAATGGGAACTACAGGAGTGTTTCAAACTATATAGCATCGATATATATATATGTGTTACAAATATATGATATAGCCGTCTGATATGATATGTGCTGCCTGCCGCAGACAGATCTTGCCAACGTTTATCGCTTAAGAGACTAACTACTTGGTCCATTATCTTTATATATACTTTACTTTATATATATGACTCAGTCTAAGCAAGACATATTTCGATCCTACATAATATACAAATAAACTGAATACAGGCTGGTTTGTGCTCAGTAGAAGTACATATAATTTGAATTAATAAATTAACTTCAAGTATGCTCAAATAATTATAAACATAAACTAATAACCCTCATCGGTTGTTTCGATTTCGTAGTCCTCATACTTTGTTTGCAAAATTCTCTTTGATTCCAAGTGATCAGCTTTACCAAAGCCCTGTCATCAGCAAAATAAAGAACATTCTTTGTATAAGTAGTCGGTAGTATTCTCGAAAAATGTGATTGATTACCTGTGAAAAGCCATAGACTTTCATATACTTCTTCTCTGGATTGTGCTCAATGCGTCCACCGCCAAGGCATTCAGTTTCCAAGCCGGTCTTTTTACAAGACTTCATGACGCGCTCGTAGATATCAGCTAAAATCGAAGTTAACGCATTCAAATAAAGGTATTCTAATGCAAACGTTTATAAAATGCTTACAATGATAATCACAATCGGCATATCCACGAACTATATTCTTTTCGTTGTCCGTGCAATCCTCTTTGCCAATAACCTTAATTAGAACATATTTAAAAATACCTTTGCCGTCTACATCTACCAAAGGTACTGCCAGCAGATCTTTTTCGGTCATTTTGAGAAATCGCAGTGCTTAACAAAATGATATTATTCAATGTTAACATAGGCATTATAAAATTATGCTGTTTTTGTGTCTTACCGCTCGGACGAAGAACTGGTGATTTTAGCAAGTTCTTAAACACACTCTGCATTTTCTCTAGAAATGACAGATAATGCGATACTGCTACTTTTAAGTGATTACTTCGGGCGTCACTTGATTAACAGTGACACTTAACGCAATTCACATTTGAAAAGGTTTTCGCAAACGGTTAGGTATTTCTGTAAGTTTAATTTTGGATTCACAGATATTTTGAAAATACTTGTGAGCAATGCCTGTGATTATATTTCTGTTATTTTTGTTACAACTAAACACTGAGACGCGCTACTTTTATTAAACATTCAAATAAATTGTACTCGAATACAAGTATCGATAGTTTTTTTTTTTTTTAGCATACTGCAGATAAACAAAAGGGCAGCAAATGTTAATGTCGCTGTTAAGAATAAAACAGCTGACAGCATTTCTGTGTGTACAGAATTCGTGAACAAGAGAAAAGTTGTATGAACACCGCTTTTGACCAGCAGAACGAACACGCTTAATAAATAACACAAAATAGTTGTATGTATAAAAAATATATATGCTAAGGGCGTTGATTGTATGCGAAACTCGCTTCATAGATTCGCAGAATATTGTTCAAAATGAGTACAACGCGTCCCTTCTGTTTCGTTTGTGGGAAGATGAAGTCTGTTGGCGTCTTTCAGCTCATCGAAGGCAAGTCGAAAGCAAAAACTAAACTAAACTAAAATTAATATTTAATAATAATCAACGCTCTTTTAGGCTGCATCGTACCTGGCACATTTAAGCCCATTAAGGACATACTGAAATACTTCGAAAAGGTTATCAATCAACGCTTGGATCTGACGCCAACATCGGCTGCTTGTAATGATTGCCTCGAATATTTGTTCAATTATGACCGGCTGGTTCGAAATCTAAGTCAAGTTCAGCGACAAATTGCAAACTCGTTGCTAAATTGTCGCAAAAGGAAAGCGGCGATTTTGCAGACTAGAAAAGATGCCATAAAACCAAGATTGCATGAAATGCGTACAAGAATCTCGGATAACGAGTCGAAAATCGTTAAAGAGGAACCAGAAGAATACGCGTCCTGCGAAGAGCCACAGGCAGAATGCCAATTTAGCGAGAGCGAAGAGAGCATGGACGATTCGGATGGGGAAGATAATCTAGATATTCCATGTCACATATGCGGCGAATTGTTCGCAAATCAGGATTCCCTCGAAAGGCACATTAAAACGGACAACTGCCAAAAGAACGAATTTGCCACCTGCAACATATGCGGCATTAAAGTTAAAAATGATGAAGTCCTCGATCTCCACATGAACCTGCATGAGGGCAAAACCGAGCTGGAGTGCCGCTACTGTACGAAAAAGTTTTCGCACAAACGCAACGTTCTGCGCCACATGGAGGTGCATTGGGACAAAAAGAAATATCAATGCGAGAAATGTGGCGAACGCTTCTCATTGTCCTGGCTAATGTACAATCACCTAATGCGCCACGATGCCGAGGAGCATGCCCTCATCTGTGAGGTCTGCCATCAGCAGTTCAAAACGAAGCGCACCTACAAACATCATCTGCGCACCCATCAAACAGATCGGCCGCGCTATCCATGCACAGACTGCGAAAAGTCCTTTGTGGACAAATATACATTGAAAGTGCACAAGCGCGTGCACCTGCCAGTCGAGGCAACACAGTCTGCAACAGAAAGTCACACAATCAACCAAACAACCTAATAATGTACATTTCAGTTGCTTCGTTTCAACTAGAAAGCAAATATGTATGGTTTAAAAAAATATATATATATATAGGTTATTAAATATGCTGCACTTGTAATGTGTCTAAAGAACATAACAACATAAGCTGCTTAAGAAATAATCTGTATAAAGACCTTTTTTAGCTAATAATATTTATACCTAAATTACAACGTTCGTGTGAACGAGCATATAGCTTGAATGCAGTGAGATTTCTCTTAGGCACAACATTTTACGATTGTTGATTGTTTAATGATTTCTTGCACTTATTTATATAACTTTTAAGTATGTTAATTGTATTGTTTTTAGGACTAGTTTGTTTCTACAGAGAGTAGAAGCTTAACTGGGAGCTGTCCGTCAATAGACCTTACACTGTAGCTGGATAAAAAGTGCACTGAATGATCCTTAGGTAATCCACATGTCAAACAGGTAAAACGAGAGATATATTTGCCCAAATCTGTGCAATAAAATAGCAGATGTTTTCGACATCTGCTGACATCTGTCCTGGCGAAAGCGTACCTGGGCGAAGGCAGCAAGCATTTATATAGCCTGGCATATTGATACTCAGCTTCAGTTGAGTTTTGCAGCTAGCAGCGACTCATCTTAAATGGATAAATTATATTTGCAATTGAATGTGTGCACCGACATAATTGCAAAAGGTGCCACATGCCACACGGCCAAGATTGCCTGGTTAAATGAATTTTGTGCCGCATTTCATACGTTTGCGAGTAAATTTAAAAGCTATTTGATAGAATTGGCGCCCAAAAATGAACTGGAGGGCAACATCAGAATACACGTGGAGACGATATATCTGTGCTTCACCCAAGTTATCACATGCATAACACAATTGGAGCGTACCATCAATATTGAGGGCACACTTGCAGCAGGAGCTCAGCTCCTGGCCACACGAACCCATTTTCTGGATCGCATCGACTGGTGTTTGAGACGTTTGCAAGCATCGGTTTATCAGCTAGCCGAAGAGGCCATAGCCAGCACGCCTGTGAAGCTGGAGGATTTGTCTTTTGTGGAGCTACTGGACTTGGCGCTGGATAAACTGGAGACATACAGCGAAATTGTGCCCGCACAGTCGCAAGCCGAGCAGGAGGACTCTGATGAGATCGATCAACTAGTTGATCATGTGAATCATCTTATAAAGCATGCCTTGGCCTTTGCCAATGTCGCACTGGAATCCGATAAGAAGGCGCTGTCTGCCATTTATGAAACGGTGCTGGAGGAAAGTGGCATATTTGAGAAGAACTTTAAGACGCACAATCCAAACGAGCGTAAACTGGAAGCCTTGTCTCTGCAACGCGCTCTTTATTCACTGGAAACCTATCTGAATGAGGCACTATTGCACCTGATCTTTACGAGCATGTTCGATACGGAGAAAGCATCCATAAAAAGGCTAAGAAACGTATTACAAAGCTGCGAATCTTCGGGAGCTGTGGATGGACTTGTTTCGGATTTTGATATTAATGTGGATCGCATACAACAGATAGGCATATTTGCTATAGCATTTACACAAGATGTTAAAACCAAGACAATCATCAGAAGTTGCTTGGCCTCTTTGGAATCTTTGGATGCGTGTATTGTGCCGGCATTTCAATTGCAAACAACGAGCTCAGCTTCATATCATGCGGACATTTTGGAACATCACTTCAGGCAGGAGCTGATGGTTTTTCGTAATGTTATACACGAAATAATTGACAGTCGAGCCCTGATTAATAACTATCTGGATGTATTAGCCGAGAGTATTGACAATGCTGAGAAACTCTACCCCAAGGGCTATTTATTGCAAGTTGCCCAAATGGGCAATGTGATATATCAACATTTTCAGCTTAGGGCAAATAATCAGGAGTTGATAGCGGATGAGGAAGGCAAGCGCTTGCATCAGGACTTTTTAGCCATATTACACGAATGTCAGGCTGTACTTGAAATTTCCGTTCATGTAGATCTAAAGCGAATTATAAAGCGCCTAAAGATTTTATATTCGATTTTGGCAAAATTGCGCGATGTCTGTGATAAGCTAGTCTATGAGAGAGCTATGAGTAACAATGAAAAGTCCATGACGACATCGACGAAACTGAGACAACATTCATTCGCTAATCCCGAAATTGGACATACAATTGCTAATTGCAATAGGACCGATTCCTCAGATTCATTAAGCCATGAAAGTGATTTAATTAGTTTTCAGCTAACGGAAATTTTGCGTATTACTTGAAATACAAATTCTGCAAGATGCGTATATTGTGTATATAAGATTTAAATAAAAATATGTTTGAAAAATGCTTATGTCAACTCTAAAAATAATGTTAATGTATGGTTTTATTAAAAGTGTATATACGTTGTTGGATTCGAAATAAGCAGACAACTAAATATAATAAGCCACACCAGCCAACTGTTTTATTATTGTTTAAATATAATAACAAATATTTGTATTGCAATGGCTTGGCAGCCCTGCAACAGTGTTGTAAAACACAATGTTGGCAAGAAAACGATGCCCATGACAGCGACAAGTTATCGAAACGACATCGATTGTTTTGCAACGCTGTGCACAAGCAAAATTAGGTATCTGAAAAGGTTGATTATTAAAATTAAGAAATCTCTAAAAGTGTACGCACTCGCGTATATATTATCATATCGGTCCATCCCTAAAATACTTACATCCCTAAAACCAAACGGCGTTTTTTTTTTGTAAACATTTGCCAAAAAGGGTAACAATTAGATACCATGAATACGTGCTTCTTTTGCGGTGCCGTTGACATACACGGCACTGCAAACTATGAATTGCTCACAGCTAAGGTGCCATCGTCACATAAATCGGTGTCCTTGGTGCTAACACATCTCGCCAACTGTATGAAAACCGAAGTTAAATTGAGTCCAAACGCAAAACTCTGCCCGCGATGTTTCAACGAGCTGGCGGAATACGATACCATAATGGTAAATCTAATGGTTACCCAAAAGAAATTGACAACTCAATTGAAGGCGGCACTCAAATCGGAGTTCGAGGACGAGGGGCTGGTTGAGGAACTGGATAAAGCGGCACAGGAAGATGCTGAAGCGGAAGCTTTGTTCGAGGAGCTAGTCAAAGAGGAGGATGATATGGATATGGACATTAAAGAGGAGTACGATGACGATGATGATGATGAGGAGGAATTTCTTTGCGAAGTTAAATCAGATGCTTTGTCCGTTAAGATGGAGGATGAGGCCGACGATCAAGGCAAATTCATTCCAAAACGAGTCAAACAGGAATGCAGCACCTGTGGCAAAATCTTCAATGCTCGCTATCAATTGCAAAAGCACATCAGCGAGGAGCACAACAAGACCCAGGCACACGTTTGTCCCATCTGCGGCATTATACGACGCGACGAGGAGTATCTCGAATTGCACATGAATGTCCACGAAGGCAAAACTGAGAAACAGTGCCGTTACTGCCCCAAGAGCTTCTCACGGCCTGTCAACACGCTGCGGCACATGCGCATGCACTGGGACAAGAAGAAATATCAATGCGAAAAGTGCGGCCTGCGCTTCTCCCAGGACAATCTCTTGTACAACCATCGCTTGCGGCACGAGGCCGAGGAGAATCCAATTATATGCAGCATATGCAATGTCTCGTTCAAGTCGCGCAAAACATTCAATCATCATACACTCATCCACAAGGAGAACAGGCCCCGCCATTATTGCACCGTCTGTCCCAAATCATTTACAGAGCGTTATACACTCAAAATGCATATGAAAACCCATGATGGGGACGTTGTCTATGGCGTTAGGGAGGAGGTGCCAGTGGATGATCAGGTGGTCGAGGAGCTACAGGTTGATGTGGATGAATCCGAGCAGGCCGTAACAGTTATTATGTCCGACAATGATGACAATGCCGCCAGCTTTTGTTTGATTTGCAGCACGAATTTTGAGAACAAGAAGGAACTGGAGCATCATTTACAATTTGATCATGATGTCGTATTAAAGTAAATAGCATTTAAAACTCCCTAATATAATATACACACCTTTCGATTGGAAATCTAAGTAAAAAAAAAAAAAAACTGAAGCATATAGTGTGCAAAAACTTAGTTTTTTTTTAGACTTGAATAAATTATTCACACTACTAGCATGAGTCTTTTTTTTTATGAAACGCTTCTTTGTATAAATATAACATATTTCAAATAAAGTTTGACGAAACAACATGTGTTTTAAAACGACAACAACTTTGTGAGGGGCAACCAATCGAATTTGCGCGCAATTTTTCATTTCAAATGTGATAGCTGACAATTGCAGCAGCTCTGATGAGACTTGGCTGAGTTACTCCTTTTAATACTATATAGAACGGCACGGAGTTTACGAACTGATCGTTGGAACAGAACGTTAACCAAAACACACTTGAGTAGGGAATGGGACCCATTCTACCTAATATTAATTGCCCACTTGATATTGGTATATTTCTATGTCGACCAGTGTTGGCAAAGCTAAAAAAATGCCTGGTTTAAAATACCTGTTACAGGCTGAAGTCTTTTCGAAATATCTATAATTAGCTAGAAAACAGCTGACAACACTAATATCAACACAAATGTGTAGTTTGCCGGTTCAAACAAGTAGATGTCCAATTTATCTTAACCAAACTGAGCAGTTGTTAGCTTTCATATGCTCCTAACATAGCACAATAAATTTTTGATTTTGATAAAAGCACTGTCAAGTATTATTAAGCCGCACATCTGCTTAATGTCTGCAAGGGTATTTCATCTTCGGCAGTTTTTTTTTTTTTTGGCGTTTTACAGTTAAATCAGATTTATCCAATTTTGTTGCCTTAACCCAAATGAGAACCAGTATTTAGATGTGTTCACTTTTAACGTTTCAAATTGTTGTATTCCGACTACGTTTATAAAAAACTCGTTTAAGCGAATTCCAAACTTAAGCTTATTCGTTCTCCTGAGAACGCAGACGACCGTTGGGGTTCGTCAGACGCACGGACAGCTGCTTGGCGCGCTCAACAATCTCCTTGCGTTTCTTCGAGGAGACGCCGTGGGCAATCTCGCCGCAGTAGACGCGGTTCTGCATCAGCAGCACCTCCAGCTCACGCACATTGTGTACGAGGAATTTCTTGAAGCCCGTGGGTAGCATGTGGCGGGTGCGCTTGTTGGAACCGTAACCGATGTTGGGCATCAGATATTGGCCCTTGAAGCGACGACGCACTCTGTTGTCAATACCCTTGGGCTTGCGCCATTTGTGCTAAAATGGAATATAAACCGGTTAATAATGTTGAATCCTTCACTAATTATTTCATATAGAAACTCACCGACAGCTTGGCATATCGATCCGACTGGTGACGGATGAAGTGCTTGGTGCGCTTCTTAACGATCTTGGGCCTGTATGCTGGACGAATGGTCATTTTGGTGCTGTAATTTAAAAAAAAGTCCTTATTAGCGTACGATTTTATTGTTTTGTATATGCGAATGTCAACAAAGTTTGATTTGCATAAACACTGAGACAACACTGTGTCCAATTGTAATTTCGGCGTCTTTCACATTTCGGGTTATTCAGTAATTGATTTTATTCAAAATAAGCCACCATTTGAGGGTGATGTTTAATAAAAATATAGATTTTAGGAAATGTACGAACCGCTAATATGCTAAGAGCACGTCAAAAAGAGAGAAAAAAGACGTGAAGTTGGCCGCGCTTGGCAGTTGTCAGCGCTGACAGTACGACCAGAGCTGTCAACTTAGGTTTCCGTTTGGAATTCGCTACTTATCATACATGCTTGTCATGCAAAAAGCATAAAGTTTTAGTCAACATATTTTATTTTTAAATAGTACTTGCCAATACTGTAAAACTCTGAAACATAAAGCGTAGGCGAATGCTTATATGTTATAGACAATATTTAACAGAGTTTCATCATATACAAAGTATATTCAACAATTTTAGTATAGGCCACCTAAATGCCTTAAGTTATAAATTATAGTCCGAAATCAATTATTACTTACACTTAAATTAAATATTATTCACATGCATAGCTAGTGTGTGAAAAATAATCGTATAGTTCTCGGTCGTCTTAACCATCAAGTCATTAACATATGTCTAGTTTGTCGTGCTATCGATTAAAATCTAAATGCATGTTCAACATAAGTGGAAACAGTGTTGTCGCATTCTCTGCGTGCTCAGATGTGTCTGCGAACCATTTCTAAATATACAAGATTAAGAAGTATTTTATAATTAGGCATCGCAGCCTAAACTGTTAGCCTCACTTATCAGTACGGCATGTCAACGATGATGTCATCAACATAACTATGCAAGACTCTCGACCACACTGGACGCTCGCCGTAATATAACATAATTCATTATATAATTAGGCGAATTCAATGTGAATGTAAAGACCAAAACAAATAGCAAGCAAACAAGAAGTGTGTGCAACTAAATAAACAATGGTAACAAGGTAGCATATGCGCACACGACGCATGCAACACGAACGGCAACAACTGCAGCAAAATGAAAGTCGATGTCATTCTAAATACGGACGAGAGCATAACCACAACGGCGCAGCCGGTAACAGCGGCGACAGCAACAGCCGCAGCTGCAACAACAACAGCAGCAACAACAACAGTAACAGCGGCAACAACAACATTTGTTAGGTCCAGCCATGCGAACATCTTTCTGGATCGCTTCTTTGGCGCTTTCCAGTGGGAGGAGTTTGCGTGCGGTTGTGGCTCGGCTTTTGTCAACATCTGCGTCACATATCCCATATACAAAATTATCTTTCGACAAATGCTGCACGGTGTGCCAATTGACTCCGCCCTGTTGCAGCTACGCCATGAGGGTCTTGGATTTTTATATCGCGGCATGTTGCCGCCATTGGCACAAAAAACGATCTCCCTGTCCATAATGTTCGGTGTGTTTGATGGCACCCGCCGATATCTGGTCGAAGATTATCGCCTTAATGATTATGGCGCCAAGGTGATTGCCGGCGTTGTGGCTGGCAGTGTGGAGTCCATCTTACTGCCCTTCGAACGTGTCCAGACGCTGTTGGCCGACTCGAAGTTCCATCAATATTTCTCCAATACGCAGAATGCGTTTAGGTAAGAGAGTCACCTACGAATTCTCCCGAGCCTCTGTCAATCAGTCTGTTGCACCTTTTCAGATATGTAGTCACCAACTATGGTTTTCGGGAGCTATACAGGGGCATTGAACCAGTATTTTGGCGCAACGGTCTGTCGAATGCATTGTTTTTCATGCTGCGCGAAGAGGCCAGTGTTCGTTTACCAAAGAGGGCAAGTATTTGAAGACTATATAACATATATCAAGGCTGCAATTTAAGATGAATGGCTGCAGATTCGGCTCAGAGTTCTCACTTTTAGGTTCCCTTTAAGCTGAATATTGTTAAACTTACGATCCAAACCAACATCCTCCCGATTGGGATATGGAAGCAGTCGTTTCTACATTATTGTATCCAGGCTATTCGCCAAATTAACCAAACTTTAGTAGTTTTCATAATTTGCTTTGAGTTTCGGTTCGACAATCTTGGTTAACTAGCTATGTTAAGGACTCGGTTGTTAATTAAAGAAATATTCGGTTCAAAATGGGCTTGCAGCCTTGGTTCAAATAATTTTCGTTTGAACAAAACCGTTTTATAAGAAAACCATATATTCCAGGTTATTCAAGCTAGTCGAGTTTATTTCACACTTAATAAGAAATATAGGAATTCTGAACTCGAACCGACGCAGTTAAAACCCAATTTGCAGCCCCGATATAAATTCACTGAGCGCTGAAATTAAACAATATTCTTTTTGTTTTGCAGAAATCGGTATCGACCAGAACTGCACAAGAATTTATTGCCGGTGCGGTAATTGGAGCCAGCATCAGCACATTGTTTTATCCGCTAAATGTGATTAAGGTGTCGCTACAGAGCGACATGGGTCAGGTAACGGAGGGAAGCTGGCACGCCTGCAAGAGAATCTACCGCGAACGGGACAGTCGTATAGGGAATTTCTATCGCGGCTGTGCATTCAATACGGGTCGCTCCTTTATCAGCTGGGGCATTATGAATACGGCATACGAGAACCTCAAGAAGCTGATACGGCAGCAGGAGCTGGCGCCGCAGGTGCAGACGTTGCCAATGTCGAAAGGCAAGTAGAACAGAACGTAGCGACGTGACGGAGTCTTACGTTAACCATGTGCTATGTATTACGTATTACGTAAACTCAACTAAACTAAAACTAAAAAACTTATAACTGAATAAGCTTAATGTATACACAAATAGCAAATTTTACGTTTTTAAGTCATATTCTAGTGGTTTTTCGTTGTGAGTGCCACGTTTTTTGGGCGCTCATTGCATGTTCCCATACGAAGCGAAAACAAAAAAAAAAAAAATAGAAGAAAACAAAAACACGATTAGATGTTGTATATCATACCCATACATAAATGTATTTCTTTTGGTAAGTGCATATAGACTGTAAAAGCTGAACTTTTCTTAATTCGTTTAAGAACCAATAAAAGTCGGTTTTGAAAACCAACGAAATCGCAATGCAAATGCCAATTATGTCTGGCTTGGCGTGAGTACAATAAAACTGAGCATTTAAAGAACCTAAAACACAACAAAAAAAAAACAAACACAATTATTGTTAAACAATCTGTATATATAATACAATACATATTACGTGTACGATTGAATTAATTATGTTGTTAATGTATACTATAACTACTTGCGTGATGTTTACGAAATTAATAAATTTATTCAATGTATTTTCTATGGTTTTTTTTTATTCTGACTTTGAGAACAAGCGAATAAGGGCTATAATCGGGTCAAATGGCGCTACAAAATGACTTGTATAAAGCTTTAAATATTTTGTTAATACGTTTCATGTTTTGCTCTAATGTCATTTGGTTCGATTCGTGAACCTTGGATCAGGAGAGCCTGGTGTAACCAGGATTTGATTGAATTTTAGGCTTAAGCTGTCTACCGAGAATTCCGGAATGTCTTCTTATATATAATGCTGCCCAATATTGGCTACTCAGTTAAGGCTTTGCAACTGGGTCCTGGGCTAAACATAATAAATTGGCCAAATAATTTGAATCGATTCCCCATTGTTTTTGCTAATTGGCTTGTAAGTCTAGTTTTTAATTTTTAAATTTTGTTTAAATTATCTTTTACCCCTACATTAAGATATATTGAGATTTAAGCATAGGTAATCAAAACCTTTATATTTCTATCATATATTCAGCATATTCGTATATTTATCAGCACACTAATTAGTTATTACATACAAATAGTTAATTGCTACACCTAGAATATCTAAGCGTAAATTATTTACAAAAAAAAAAAAAAAACTATTACACATATCACAAAGAACATTAAAGATGGAGCGGGTGGTGGGTGGGGTATTTAAATCTTAGCTTAACGTTTCTTTAGCGAGCTGCGATATCGTTGATAGAAATCCTCCATGGCTCTGTATTCCGGCTCCAGGATATCGGGAATTTCCTTGTCCAATGAGGCAAAGTAAATCATTTCAACCGAACAGCTGCCGCGCAATTGTTGCTCGTATTGGCGCAGCTGCTGAAAGAAACCGGAATTGGGTCGCACCTGCGGCCGTATGGATTGCACGTGTGTATAGGCTTCGCGGAGACTCATGCCGCCGTATTTGATTAAATAGGCTAAGCACAGGGTGGCGGAGCGACTGACGCCGGCAACGCAGTGCACCAGGGAGCTGCCGCCACTGAGACGCACTTCCTCAATCAAATCGGCCACCTCATCGAAATGGGCAGCCAAATTAACTCCGGCCCGATCCTGTGCATTGATGCGCAGATACAATGGATTACTGACACTGGACAGCGGCGTGTCCGGCAGCTCAGGCGCCACATTCACAACACAGCTCACGCCCAGCTTGTCCAGGTGCGCCGGCACCACAGCCGCAGCGCCGCACAGGTACAGGGAAGGTGTCAGCCGTGAGATGCCTGGATAGGGCGTCTGATTATCCGATTTTATTTGACTGAAATGGACGAAGAGGTAACAATATTTATTTAGCTTGCTTTGCATTCAATAAACAGTTATTTATCAGTTAAATATCAGATTTAATTAAATTATATATTATATTACTTAATATGTGCATAAACATACTTGAAAATAAAAGTATTTTACAATAAAATAGGGTCAACATTTATTTTTTATTAATAGTTTGAAATAAAATAATTTTAAAAATTTTGAATTTGTCTAAACTTATTAGAATATATTATATAGCTGTTTAGGGAATTATCGGTCGGAAACTGAGTTATTTTAGAAGTAAATTAACCAGGGCTGCAATCGCGAACTCTAAAATAGTAGCTGGTTCGGCTTACGATTTGAACCGGCCCCCTGTCATTCGTTTCGGTTCGTAAACTCTTCACATTCATAAACCAAGGTTTAAGCCTACATATTTTTTGGTATATTTTTTTTAAATTCAAATTCAAAAATACTTAAATTTATGTTGAATTCAATCAGGTCGTTAAATTTGTAGGCACAACAAATAGCTGATAAGGTCCATCTATGGTCCATCTAAGGTCCATCTATCCTTTAACTAGGCTTTTAGAATATACTTATATTGTACAACCTGTTGAATAATGAGGAAGACACTCGTTTTGTCGACCATTAATAAATAAATAAATAAATAAATAAATAATGTTTTATGCTCTATATCCGACCAGATGCTTATAAAAATCCACACCGAAAACATATTCAACAATTAGTCATCCAAATATGCTATATACTAATATTTTTACCCCTTTATTATGTATAGCCACTAATTGTTCACTATTTAAAGCTCAAATATTAAGCATGGTAAACAAACTGTCAAATACGAAAATATTTTCGAAAAAATAAAAAACAACAACAATTTTTTTTAGCAAAGACGTAAATTGAAAAGTATATTGCAGATAAGATAGAGTTATGGTAAAAATATTGTTAAATAACAATCGCAGCGCTGTCAAGCTTTTATGAATGGGCATTAAGGTATCTTTCAACATTTTGTTTTTGTTAATAATACCGCGCGTATTTCTCTCGGTGATCTATGCAGGCACGTCATTGTTTTTTTAGCACCTACGTCGAATACTACAAAACAATAAACATTTGGATACATAAAACATATGTACGAGCTGTATATTTATAAAGACTTGTTTATAATTAGTTGGCAGGATTTTGATAATGCGCAATATAAAAATAGAAGTGGATGTGTGAAGGTGTGCGATACGAAAATATGAATACGTAAAAATGTTGGAAAAAAATAAACAGGTAGCACTTGGGAGCTTTATTGCTTATACAAAGTATTAATTATTATATTTTAAAAATGTTCAAAAAAAATTTTAATGTTTGTCTGTTCAATCAGGGTTCGAACCCTGAGGAGGTTTAAATCCTAAAAAGGTTTTCTGCCTAAAAAAAAAAGATGTGTATCTCGTAAAACTTCAAAGTTAGAAACATTTTGCTGATATAAATAAAAAGCTAATGCTAAATTCTTAGCATAAGTTCCTTATTTTTTTAACATAAAGTTCGAACCCTGTTCATTTTATAAATTTCGAAATTTGTGTTTTATATAAACGAAATCTGACCCTTAAATCTTAAATTTCGAGCCTCTTTTAAAGATATCTTGCTTCCTTTTTTCGAACTTCGAGCTGCGCTTAAATACTTAATTAATATAGACGAACTATGCTAAAATACTTAATTAATATAGACGCAAACGGAGCAATTTGTTGTGATAAAAAATAGAAGGGCTCAGTTATAGGAATGCATGAAATAAGTAGTTTTGGCTTGATTCGAGCGAGTGCCATTAACTTGGCCAATTCGATTTGGTCCAAGTGCTGACAATTCGGTTGACAGATTCATTCACACTTGAAGCTCAGCTGCGGAATTTTAATGTAAAATACAACATCAAACCAATTTATTTATAGTTTCAATGGATATTTGCCTGGCGACATTTCGTCGTCATTAAATAATAATCACGAATTCCGCTGGAACTTTGCCAACATTAATCATCGGACACTTTCACTTTGACCGCACACAAATGCCGTCGTCAAAATTATCCACACAAATATCTGCAGGAATATTCTGTATATATCTTCTTTATTTTTGCCGTGTGAAAAGTACGTATATACATATATATATATATATAATATATTCCTCGCATCGCGACACAATCTGTTTATTGGTGGCAAACAAATGCAGTAAAACAATAACAATTTCTGATCTTTTCTATAATTAAATGAAAATTTATGTTTTTCTGCAAAGTTGTTTATACCGATTCTCTCTCCCCGCTGTTGACACTCTATATATATATTGCATATAGAATCATGTGACGACAAAAGGGAAATGGGTTAATGTTAAAAGAAACCTTGGGGCCCACTTTTCTTTCATTATTGAAATGCACACAGGCTGTTTGCCTCATGTCTATACCTGACATTATATATAGATACAAATTTTTTTACAATGCGGATATCTATATAATATATACCATAAAAGCATATAGGCATTTCGGCTATGCACTTGGAGGTTAAAAAATATTTGCCGATTCTTGTTGCCAATTTGCTTTTTTTTGTGTATGTTTTTGGCGAATTTGACAGGCAACAGACAGAAAAGACAGACAGATCTTTGTCTGCCGCAAAATGAATAATTTTTTTATCTTATTTAAGCAATTATTTTGTCCTTGAATTCAATTGTCAGAGTCAGGGCTGTCAATAATAAACGCCCAGAACTATGCAGAATTAAAAGAAAGAGAATTTAAAAAAATATGCCAATTATTATTTTCTTCATCTTCTTGTTTCGAGATGCATTTTAATGAAATATATTTACAAACTAGACAATAAGTCTTGATTTAGATAAACAGATTATCTGCCAAACAAACTAACGAGCATATCAAATATTTGCAGATTCAAGAACTATTATAATATTATGTCTTCACCTGAGATCTATCAAGCGCTAACATCCAAATGTATTTCACACAGATAGGGCACAACTTGTAAAGCTATTTGGCATGGAATTTGGCACAGAGTATCGAAATAAAAATGTGTGCATTTGGCACAATTCGAAAAAACTTGGCCATATGCTTGGTAATGCACAATGCATGCGTACATTAATCCATTACTGCTTGTTAGAAGTTTATGCAGGTGTTATTTTTTTTTTAATTTATACAAATTCAAATGAATAAGATATTTTTTTTCAAATTGATTTTTTTTTAGATTTAAAAATAATATACACAAAAATGGAATATTAAGCACTTTTCGACTTTGCGCACGGTAAAAACAAAAGAAAAACAAAACACAAAGCCAAAAATGTTTTTTGGTCACGCTTGCCCAAACCAGGTGCAAATCTACATATATTACGTATAAATTATATGCCATGACCAGCCCAGCTACAAAAAAAGTGCTGCCAAGTCTGTAAAACAATTAAAAACAAGTAAGAGGTTCTAGTCGGGAGCTCCCGACTAGGGGATACCCTAAGCCCTCTTCTTCCAACATCAAATGCATATATATTATATTTTAGAAGCTATATGTCAAGTTTTGTTATTTATTATTTATATCGATATCGATTTTTATCGATTGCTTGCAAACGGAGTAAGTTATCGCAGATCGAGTCCGATTATCGGAAACAAACTCGATCTGCGCAGGCACTAGGAGCACCTACATCTCAAATTTCAAGTCTCTAGCTCTTATAGGTTCTGAGATCCTTGCGTTCATCCATACAGACAGACGGACAGACGACTCGGCTATTGGTGCTGATCAAG